AATGATTCTATGATTCTATGAAAGAGAACATACCTTTATTTTGACATGGGCTGCTCCTGTTTTGCCTTGCATATTTTTCTAATACATTGGATAGGATTTGATTTTTTAATCCTAAGGCTCTTGGATTTCAACACTGGAAACTCAGACTTGTGCGTGCTAAGCTGAATACAAAAAGCCACTACACTGGCCTAAAAGATGAGTGAAATGGTCCCACAGTTTGCTCTTCTCAGACTCCAACATTCCATTCTATAAAGCCTAGGACTGCAGAGACACTGCCTTCCTTAGGAATACTGATAACACATCTTTATAGCTGTATTTTCTTGATACATAGTTCTGTAGCTGACAGAAAGAGCAGCGTTCAAGAGTGGTTAATGCATTGCAACATCCTAAGTTGACTGACTAAAGTACTGTGCAGGACAAAGGGTACAGGGCTTGCATTAACTCCCACTGAATCACAGGGTTGGATTCAAGCATGTAACACTATCCTACAGACTGCATCTAACACAAGTATCCTGCCCTGGCTGATGATGTGACTACGTCTACTTTGCAATTAGAGATGCGAAGTCAGCACGAGCAGACACAATGGAAATCCAGTGGCATGGACTCTATCAGTCTGTCTGCCTACTGCTAGCCTGTACTAAGTCCATACCAGTACATTCTTACTTCATTATCAGGTGAAAGCTACCTCAGGCGTGCCTGCATGCAGTACAGCCACATGTCCACAGCCCACAGCACACACAAGTAATAAATAAGAATTGCCCTGAAGGAGAAGAAATGGAAGTGGGTGGTGTTTGTAGGTGCAAAGCAAACTCAGGGAAGTCTGAAAGCAGAAAGTCCAGAATCAAGAGGACAGGGAGGACCTCCCAACTCCAATGTGGATGTGCCCCGGATTAGAGAAAGGCAAATGCTCTCGGGCAGCACATAAAACATGTCCAAACCTGGAATTTTGTAAATATTTTCTCAACTAAAGTATTCATATGTAGTTGGTCAATACATATAAAAAACTGATTTAACTGATGGCATTTTTTTCTCTAAAAAGCATGAGCCATTGTTCATGAAAAACTAATTCTTTTTAACCATCGCTTTAAAGTCAGATGTTTTTCACATTTTCATTTGCTTCGTATTTGCATTCTAATATTTTGTTTTAGAAGAAAAACTTTCTGTAACACTGGAAGAACAATACTACAGCCCCAAAAAGCTCATACGAACCTAAAAATATTAATTTTAAGCATTTCATTAAACAAAATAAAAAATGTGAGAATTAACAAACAACACTGCACCACATGATGCAAAACACAGCGTCAGTGCCCAGGGTGGCAAGTGATAGCAGGAAAGCTGTGTGGCAGAAGTAGTAGCAAGCGCAGCGAATGATAATAATGAAGAATCTTCTCGGTAAAGAAGACCATTATCAACACTATGAAAACACAACAGCAAACCTCTGCAGAGCGTGGCCTGCGCAGAACCAGACTCTTTGGATAAAAGAACTCAGATGAGGAATGCTGTCATGAAACACAAAAGGGAAAAAAGAGTGAAAAGGAAAGCAGTTTCCCCAGCTCAGTCGTTAAGCTCTTTTTTTCAGTCAAGTCACTAATACCTACTTGCTAGATAATAATCTGTGCATTGTAATATCTATGCTACTTATTAATCCCTGCAGAATCATAAACCACCAAACCACCAGTTGTAAAAAATCCTAAGCAATGTATATTTTTAACATACATATGGTTGCTTTATTTTCTGCTTGTTTTGGCTTTGTAATCCTCCACAAATATCCAGTGGGAGGAAGATCTAAAGCAACTGTTGTTTTTATGAACTCCCTTCTCAGATCTGGACCAGCTAGAGTGCTGATTAGTTTATGCCACAATTCAGTCACTGAGAGAAAACAGAACTTGCTGAAAACTTCTAAAGCGACTTCAATGATAAAAGGGCTTTTTGTTTTGTTTTGCTTTATAGGGAAAGGAAACCCAGCAGAGCAAAGAGGCCAAGTCACTGGCTTTTTGCAGAATCACCAGAAAATCTAGGCCTGACCCTGAAAGTGGCTATATCATCTATTTGTCAACTCACAAACCAGATTCTGATTCTCACATCAGGTCTAAGTGTATGTCATCAAGAAACTGAAAGTCAATCAAAGTACAGTTCATAATTTAGTGGTGACATGTTCAAATAGCACATAGTTCCCCCAGTTTCATTTTTTTCTGTACCTACCTGTTTGCTACTGCCTTCATTTGAATCAGCAGAATGAAACGTGTCAAAGTAATCGAAGTGAGCTCAAACTGATTTTAAAATAAGATGTCTGACTTTGCACTGGAGTAGACAGAGACTATCTGTGACGTACAGTTGAAGCTAAAAATTCTCCATCTCTCCAGCTAGCTTCAGTACAGTGCAGTTTTCAATGCCTTTTTAAATACATATTAAATCTCTGCATCAAAGCTCGCATCCAGGAACAAGGCGACCTTGGATAGCTGTGCCATAACATTTCTCAGATGTTCTCTTAATATGCATTCTTTCGCTTCACTTCATTTTCCTGCAACAACTCACTTAGGCAAAGTCTTGCAGGTAGATTAATTCATTTACTTCACTCACTTCAATTAAAATTAGCTGAGGGGGAAGAAGACTGACATGCTTGAATGTGTGACGTTAAAAAGGAAAATATTTGAAGAGGACTTTGGCCATTTCCATGGGGAATGGAAATAAGCCAACTGATTTATAAGGTCAGCTGGAGAAGGTTAGTAAGGGCCGCAGTGTAGTCAGGAGTGCTTTGATAAGACTCTTGGGTCCAAGTGAAAGGGAGGTATTGTACCCCAACCATTCACTACAAAGCACAAGCGTTCTGACACTTAAGCAGGGCCAAAACACTGTCTTACATTCAAATTATTAAATGAGGAAGAAAATCCAGTCCAGCATAATTTTCCATTTTCTTATGGAAAGTCAGGAGAGAACAATGTGCGAATGCTGGATGGTACCTACAGTGATGTTTGGCCGTGCTAGATCCCATGCCCATCTAGGGCCAATTATACTTCTGTATTATCAGTACAGCCCCCACTAACATGAACGCTACTCAACAAGAATTTATCTGCACACTACCTATGATCATAGTAAATTCTCTGCAGGGGATGTTTTACAGACCAGTGCACCTGAACAAATTCTAAAGGACGTGACTTCCTGTCAATGAGGCACACATAAAACACAACCCAGAGGATATCCTACATATTTCCATGCCTGTACCTCTTAGTTTCCTTGTCTGAAAGACATTTTATTCATATACAGTCTCTAATATTCATACCCAGAAAAATTATCGAAGTTCAAAGGACCAACTGAGACATCAAAAAGAGTAAATCGAACAGAAGATTAATTAGTGAATATGGGCTTAGCATTGCCTGGTGCATGCAAAAAGCCAGGCTCCAGCATTTATCAGGGCAGCATTATTGCCATCAAGGATTTGATCCAGAAAGTTTGTCTAGATATGCCCTCCAAGGGTAACTGTAGCTGTTCTTGGCATTCAAATTAGGATCACTTTAGGCTGGGGCTTATTTGGATGGCAAAGGAAGAAGAGTCCATATTGTCTAAATGCTGTAAATAACCACACAGAACAGGGGATAACTATAGAGCAATTATACAGATGTGCAAAAATACTAAAATATATCATAGCATTTGCCCTGATCACATTTTCTCCTTAAGAGTCTCTCTCACAATAATTGAGATATGAAATTAAGTGTTTTAGTGACTTTGCCATGTCTTTATGTCAGTAAATGATACTATCTTTAAGGCAGTGCACTGAGACAGGTATGTAAAGGTGGTGAGCCTAAAAAACAGAGCAATACCTCTGAAGTGCCTCCACTGTTTATTCTGCCAGAGTGGTGACAGCTATGCGAAAAAACCATGGGAAAATTCACTCTTCTAAAAACAGCATTCAGTTATTGTGTGGGCAAAATATCTGGTGCGTCATTGCCACAAATTCAGCTTACCCGTAGCTTATCTTCAGTCTTAGTGGATTGCTTACAGTCGGGATGCCAGACAGTGGAACCTGAGGGAAGTAAAAAACCATCTTTATTCAGAGTAAAGCAGATGACTTCCGGTCATGACAAGTCAGTTATTAAAGAGAATCCCTTCTTCCCAGACGGTGAATCTGTATAAACTATGCAAGTAATTCACATTCAATTCTAGCTCATGGGAAATACAAGTGAAACAAAAAAAAAATATTCAAATCCTTGGCCCACCTACAGCAGGCTCTTCCTAAGGCTGTCAAAGCACTTTGCACACATTCTTAATTAAAACTCGAAGAGCCTCAAGCAGGAAGTCAGCAAGCACCAGCTGGAGGAACTGAAAGACAGAGGGTTTCTCTGGGCAGGATGGAGGGTAAGAGCCAAAGAACTGGGTCATGATTACCTGATCTGTTCTCGCCTTATGTACTGCACCACATGTAAAAAGGAAGTCCTGACTATAAGTCCATTAATACTGGGAAAGTCCTATGACTTCCTTGAGCAATAGGTGTCATATTCAGTTACTGTAAAGTATTACTCAGATCACCTCTCCCTGCAATTATGCAAAATGCAACAGGAAAAGCAAAATTAGAAAATTCACAACGCAGCAAAGTCAGGGCTGTATCTCACCCACTGCACTAAGCTAGAGGGGCCAGTATGATGCAGTTGGTACAAAGCAGCATGTGAAAGAGCCTCTCTGTAGATCACAGTGTACCATACTTGCAATTGGCACACATATAATTTCTATCCCTTGCTCTGCAAGGTCAGTGGCATGTGTTGCACTGGCATTTCCTCATGGTATATTCCATCTACACATCCTACTAAAAAAGGCAAAGTCTCTTCTGTTTGTGTCCCAAAACATGGGATTCTCTCTTATGCTGTAAAAATGGAAATATCCAGCTGTCCCCAAGGGCTGAGCAGTGTCAAGGGCAAGGAGCACTTCCATCCCATTTCAGTTCTTCTTTGGAACCGAGTGTAAACTGTGGTCACTGCTGGGAAGCTGCTGGCAGGTATTAGCCAAGTTGAAATGGAGCAGAAGCTGATGATGGTTTTTAACACTGACTGCAGCTGCAGTCAAATTCAAACTTCATTCCAGTCACCACAAAGCCAATACAGCGCCTTGTCTGTCTGCAGGGGGGGGAACGTCACCTCTTCACTCTGTCCACAAAGAAACCAAACAGAGTGAAGTCCACATCTCCTGCTGGTGACTAATAGCTCAAGCGCAGTCAGAGGAAATCCCACCCTCAGAGCCCAGGAGAGGTGTGGGTCAGGGTCCCTGGAAATTTTGCTCTAACGAGCCCTTACATGGCTAAGTACAGAAGTAAAGACCAGCAGACTAATCATCATCAGAAGACTGGAGAGAATGCTGTGACTCTGGATCAGGGGTCTGAGATGTTTGGCTTTGAGTCTAAGCCGAGGAAGAAGAAACTGTCCATTTGGCAGGGGGGAATGATCAGACAACAGGGAGAAGTGTACCAACAGCCTTCTCTGTAAACAAACAGCAGCCTCAGAGCCAGGATCCCACAGAGCCTGCGAGATCAGGAGAGGAGCATGCCCTGTGCATTTGCTTAGGAGGTGAGACAGATCCAAGCACTCAGGAGGAAGGGAGTTCATGTTATAAGGCTGATGAACTGAGACTCAGAAGGTTTAGGTTCAATTCTCAAATTCAGCTGTGAGCTTCCTGTGTGACCCTGAGAAAAATTATCTCTGTTCCTCTGTACCTCAGTTTCTTCTCTATTAAATCATCCCCACCAAGAAAGAAAAAGCTGTCACTGCACTTTCTGGCAGTATTTAGCACAAACTGGCACAATTGTAGTGACACCCCAGGAGAATGCTGGAGCTGCTGAAAGTGAACAAGAAATGCAAGGGAGTCTGGATGTCATTTTCATGGTGAAACTTAGCTAAGGGTTGTGAGGGGTGTTTTTTCCCCACAAAGTGATAAAAGGTTTGAAATATGTGAAATTTAAAAACCCAAATCAGGTAGAGCAGGCTTAAGAAGTTAAATGTAAATATTTTTCATGATCTTGAACTCTGAGCCACCTACAACTTGTAGATTTTATTCATCCAAACTTGTCAATCTATTTTGAAATGCTTGCAAACTCTCAAGGTGCATCGCCACTCTTTATCCTACCAGAAACAGTTCAGCAAATTGTGGTTATTCCCATTCTTAACATATGTTTGCTCACTTGGCAGACACCAATGAACATGTTCATTTATTCAGCTTTTTACTTTGCACGTACCATTGTTTCAACACACAGATCTCTCAAAATCAGTAACTCAGGCTATTATTTACACATAGAATAAGGCTGAAAGCCTGTGTGAAAATCAAGTGAAGCATCCTTCTAAATGCTGAGCAGCATCCTAGCTCAGCAACAGTCTTCTGGGGCAGTCCATATAGTAATACATTACTAAGAAGTCAATGGGAAAGACAAAGTTTCTGATGATGCTTCCTTTTCATTTTCCTGTGTTGGAGCAGGGCAGAGCCACAGTGCTTCTGCTAACATCATTCAAACCATCCTTAACATAGAAAGCCCCAAAACAGACAGCTTGTTTTTCTATTTTCTCCTTTTGCAGGTTTCCCACACATTTCTAATACAAGTAGCTACCACAAACCCGCCAGGCTCCTCTATTATACAAAGCAATACCAACACAGTGCTTTCATGTCCTGTGGAGAGGACAATTAGAAGTGAGATGGAAGCTGCCCTTTTTCATATATTTTATCAATAATGTGATTTTCATTCTAGCTTTAGTGTTCTGGTGTTGTATTTTTATTTCAGAGAAATGCTTGGAACGCTGTTATTCTGCACCCTAGGGTAAATAATTTGGATGGAGTCAGGATATACATTTCAGCTGAGAGCTTTGCACAGGAAAGCCTTTTAGGTCCCTTACATTTACAAGCTTGCTGAATTCAGCAAGGAAATCTTCGGCAGGACTGTCTGGAGCACACTCAGCAATAACATTATTCAGAAAACAGCTTGTGAACAATAAAGCAATGCAACTTGGGCTGCTCCTCTGAGACAGAGTGAGCATGAACAACATTAATTGACAACCACAGAAAGGGAGATTACAGCCAAGAAGAGAATGATGGCAGATCAAGGAGCCAGGTGTCTCTCCTCTCCTCTTTCATATCATCTGAACTTGGCCAGGACAAAACCTAGCCTTGTTTAAGTAGAAGCAATGCTTTCTGTCTTATTTGGATCTGCAGAAATTTACACCACAGCCTGCCCAATCAATATGAACTCCAACTCTCTGCTAGACTGGTACAAATGGAATCAGTTGCGAACAGCTGTTATTAATAACAGCAAAGGATGAACTGATGCTCACCTTGAACTCTGCCTGTACTTTATCATACCATGATGTGAGGAAATTACAAAGATTACAAGTTTTCAGATGCTGAAACTGCTACTTTCAAATTAGTCTTTCCAACTTGCTGTCAGAAAGCAATACTTCTATCCAGCCCTCTTTCAGCCTCTCCTCGCTCTTGCAATGCAGAGCTGCTAATAACTTGATATCCAGTTCTGTGCACAGCTGGAATAAGATGACTAAGGTATAAGGTCAGTGAGAGATGAGAGAGATGGACTCGTAGGGAGGACAAACTACAAAATAACACAAGTTAGCTTCAAAGGAATTCCTTAACAATATTATCTTATTTTGGAATTTCTCCAGAAAGAATCTCTCCTCAGGATTTCAAGAGATGGCTGTTACCACACTGTCATAATTTTTTTCCTATTCTTTTACAGTCCTTTCAGGTATATCAAGCAAGTTTTCTAACAGAAGCACAATATACAAAATCCCAATATGTATCTGCCTTTTTCATTTTGATTTCTGGCTTGCATAAATGTTTATTATACATCTTTCTACCAACAGTAATTAATACTGCAGCAAGTAATAAAAATAACTGTAGCTTAACAGTTAATGTGCTACCTTCTGGGAGAGTAGGTGGAATTCAGATCAAGGATACTTTTCAATCAAAGAAAAGAGCACATTCTTTTTTACGTGAAAAATCATGAAAAAAAATGTGCTTGGCAATACCCGGGAGTGTAAGACTGTTGATAAGAAAGATGAGATGAAAATGAACATAGAAGAAAGAAGTGACTGTAGAAAGACATAAAAATAAAGTATATGGGAATATAAAGAGACATGTGACCAGATAAAGGGGAAATAGGCAAGGCAAGCAAATATGATTAAGAACTGGAGGAGACAATCTGTCAATGCACATGGGGAATGAGATCTACGTGATTCAAAACAAGCTCACTGCAGTCTTTGGAAGTTTTTCCGTTCCTTTTACAGTTTGGAGTGTGGTCCAGAAGAGCAGAGAAACTGATCAGCAGAATTCAGGGGAAACCCTCTAACTTTGACTGGAATCTTGTATACCAGTCTGTGTGCTAAGCTATCTGTGAGATGCCAAATTCAGAGGTAGCCTGATAAATTTCATTTTTGCTACACAGCTTTTGAAACACAGTCTGCCTCAGCTAGGCTGCAGAGTCACTGCAAAGCCACCATTATGACCACCCACTAGGGTGAAAGGGTTTCAAGTGAAAATGTATGAGAACACTGTAATGAAGATAGGAGGGCTATAGTCCTCCTTGGCCATATTACATGGAGATGGTTTATAAACTCCTGAGGTTTGTGACAGAAAAATTACAAAGTCTGATTTTCTTGTTTTGGAATGGAAACATCCTTACCTTGCAGATACATTTCTTCTCCTTCCGTGAACATTTGGTTGCACCTGCTGCATCGTGCACAGCTTGGATGATAATGCTTGTCACCTGCCTGAACAAAAATAAAAAAGGGAAATGAGGGATCAATGCATTGCACTGCTTTGTGAGCACTCATTATTTGCTGACAGACCACTGCCATTTTTCTTCTAGTTCACCTGTTACGATACAACATGGCCTTCATGATGTGACAATAGCTATGAGAATGTAAGATCTGCCATACTGCTTCCATTCAGAGGTCTATCTAGTCCAGTATTGTGTCCTCAACAGAGGCCAGCAGCGACTACGTGGGGTAAAAGGCTGTAAGAAACAAGACAGTGCAGAACAGCCTTTCCTCTTCACACCTTCCCTTTCAAGTAATCAGTGGTTTAAAGATTTCCTGGCTAGAGACTACGTCAATCTATCTATTCTCTATGGTTTGCCCAACACCTTTTTACATCTCCATCTATCTAACAGTCCAAGGCAATGAACGTCACACTGCAGTTAGATATTTGTGTAAACCTGCTGCCTCCTCATTTTGTCAAACAACATGTATTTTCTCAATTGCCCCATTATTATGGATGAATTTAAACAATGGACGACAGTTTTCAACCTGCCATTTCGTTTCTTGGCCTTCTTGCTGACACTGCTGATATCGGCATTAACAGAGAGAACTTTCTAGAGCCACTTCTGGGACCATTAACTTAATTCACAGATGCCTGACTTCAGAAGCTACACTAGCACAGACAGCATGAGTTGAATTCGAACTACTGATGTAAAGATGCTAAATACTCTAGATCCTATTACCCAAATCTAAATCCACTGAGCCATTCATTCTCTTAAATACTTTGATACCCATAATAAAAAAAGCTGATCAGATATCAGGCCTACAAGGACAAGAAAAATCAAGGCACAGATATTAATGTGATTTCTTTTTCTTAGAAGACCAAAGCGACCAATGTATTAACTTCCTTGCATCAGAAACTAAGCATGCAATGTCCGTATCAGGCTTTTTTAATCGAAAAGTAATTAATCCTAGAAAATGACCCTTAATAGTGACAAGTAATGAATTCTAAAAGTCTTTAAAATTGTATCTGGCTTTCCAAAAAAGTTAACCTCAAATCCTTTTTCACAACATATGCCTTATCCACTGAGATGTTATACGCATAAAATATGTTTACTCTGTAGCTGACTTGTAAAATGTCATCAAATCCATTTCCTACTTCATTATACTCGAGACTGTAACATTACTAAATTCAACCTTTCCTTATGTCTATTGAGATGAATAACAATGTATTTTTGGTTCACATTTGACATTGATTATACGGGCTTAGTATTTAAAAGTATTTATATGACATGACGAAGTATATGAATTAAAGTACCTGACAACAAACAGACAACCAGATCTACCACCCAGCCCTTCTACAGGTAAAGTTGCACCATTTAATTTTAATGATCTCATTTGTTCCTGCCTTAGTAGTGTAGTACCTGGGTTTGATTTTAGGGAAGGTTGGGAAAGGTAGCTATGAATAGAGACAGTGGTGTTTGTGGACATGACTACTTATCTTTCATTATCACTAAGAACAATTCCCGTCCAGGAATTTCAGCAATACAAGGCCAGAGAAGAGGACTCAGTGTGCTGTTAATCTAGCCGTACATTTACTCTTCAGTTGCAAAAAGCTGCACTTCTCTTACTCAGATACTGCCTTTGCTGTGGATTCCTGCTCCTTTTAGGGCAGCATCCACCAAACAGGGAGACTAATGTGATTTAGTATTTCTTGCACAGCAGATTTAGACCCATCAGGCAAAAAAGGGGCTCTGGTAAAAGGGAGAATGAAAGGTCACTACAAGATATGTCTATTCAATGAAGAAAAGCTAATGAGGGAGGAAACACAGAATTGATGCTTGACTTGCAGCAACAAAATCAATATTGAACTGAGAAGGAAAAACGCAGTTAATGCTCATTCTCTTTCTATCATTTTCATTACCAGCTGTCCTCTTCGTCTCCGACTCTCTCTAGCAATTATTTAACCCCTGAGGTGTCCCATCAGTTCCATTCAAGACTGGAATTTAAGAAAAAGAAAATGAAGAAACTCTGAATGTATCTGAAATGTAACGCTGGCATCAAACCACATTCTGATCTTGAATGCAGATGTTCAAAGAACAGCTACTTGTATATATATGCAGCTTAGGGCTGTGAATACTGAACAGGGTTCAAAGGCAGATCTCAAATTCAGACAGCTCAGCACTCAGCAGAAGCCGACATCCTTTTCTGCACTTTCTGCCTCACGCAAACAATATTGTGTATACAGAGGAACCACAATTTTATCTGTGTTCGGTAAAAAAAAAAATCACAACTTTTGAGCATTCCTAAAGTTCTTCAGCAGAGTGGGGCCCACAGAGCTGCTTGTCATAAGTGATTTCAGACGTAAATGGCAAAAATGGCAAATCTGATGTCCTGGGAACCGCTCCCAGTTAATGACATATAAAAAATTCCTAAGAAGGCTGAATCACAGCCAGAAAGGATCTTCTCCAAACAGAAAGACAATAATAGAAAAATAGATTTGAAATAATAAAACAGGAATCTGGGCTCTGCCTGTCTCATCCAACTAAAGAATATCTCTGCGGCACAACTGTGCCGTGGCTTAACAGAGCGCAAATGTTCTGTAGGTACGTGGATTTTTCTGAAATAAAATTCATAGCTTCTCAAAAGGTATTCAGTAGGGTAGTTAAGTAGCTACATAGTCTGAACTGGAAAGAGTACAGAGCCTGTTATATATTAATTAACCTCTGAGATATCCCACCTGAGGTGGGATTGTGTCCTGTGAGATGCTTACCAAATTCCCAGACACAAAGGACTGAAACCTTTGGACATAAGTATTATCAGATGAAGTAGGTTTTAGAAAGAAATAATTCCCTACCAAGCATCCTGATGTGCATCTAAGGCAATGTAGTTTTAAGAAGGGTAGTTAGGATCCAGCAGAGATATCTATATTGTGAGAGGACCACAGCATGTGGACAAAGAAAATCACGATTCACACCTGCACAGTTTCAGCTTCTGTTCTTCCAGTCTGGCCTTTGAGGTGTGGTGGTTTTGGTTTGTTTTGTTTTTGAGATTTGTTTGTTTGTTTGTTTGTTTTTGTTTGTTTAGAAACAAGAAAGCCATATCGCACCTATGTTTTAATCAAATGCTGCATTTCATTGTCATAAATGAAAGGTGCCAATCCTCTGGGTTTTGTGTAGCTACTCTGGCAGTCCTACTCCAGGCTTCTGAGTTTCCTGTTCCTTGTTTTGCAGTTAATTCACAATAACTTTGATCAGTTACTTCTACCAGCTTGATCCTAAAAGGGTCTGTATCCGGTCCATCTAATGCTAATATTAATGAGTCTTTCACTTGCTGTGATCATCCGATAAACATTCCACTTATTTTTCTCCTCATCACAAAGCTTTTCTTGAGGATCCTTTAGAAAAAGGCACCTGGATTCAAGTACTCATCTGTTAATTGCTATAAGCAATTTACATGTTTTTAAAAGCCAGGCCATTTATAGGAGAAACAAATCCAGAATTCATCATAATATTATGTGTAGACCTGTGGCCTCTCTGAAGATTTTTTTCCTGGAAAAACTTCTAATATGCTACTGTCAAGAGAATATAGTTTAAATGATGTACACGTGTCTCTTCAAAACAGCGAGAGACTGATTTCAAGTTTATTGGATCTTTCCCCAAGCCTGAAACAACTGGCCAAATTTTAGCCTACTGTGAGTGATGATGAATGAACACCACGCCCCAGATAACACAAGCTTGCTAAGCAGAAGCGCTAACACATCCTGCACTGGAGAGGTTTTGGGGGAGTTACATACCACAGCAGCTGCAGTTGCTGAATGCTTCTAAACCAGTTTCACGAGTTTTCTGCCTCAGTAATGCTTCTACGACTCAAGAAGTAGAAGCCTTTCTTCGGTGGGTATCCACTGGAAAACAATCTGCATCTCAACTAACTCAAGGCTAATCTTGCCATGCCTGACTTGCTGTAATCATCTGAGAAAACTAGTTGCTAAAAATCAGCCATTTACAATGTATTAGGAAAACCTTTTGGATCTACAAGGGGATGAAATATTCACACTTTTTAGAGATTTGGTCTTGCTCAGCTCTCAGGCTACTAAACCCTCATTCAGTATGGCCAATGTGCAGCTTCCCGTAATCTTACGCTGTGCTGTGGACTGTAAAGCTTGTATCTCAATCCTGTTGGCTGTAGCAAGTAGCATTAATTCAGTGCACATTTGCCCTGAACATACTTCAGCTGAGGTGCAAGAGGGTTACAGTCACTTCCTTCCCACTATGCCTAGCTCTACTTACCCCTTCTCAAGTTCACCTCATGTCCAGAAATCCCTTACAGTTAGCTTTGCTACACAAGGACTCCTCAGGTGGCATCCTGCACCCTGCAATCAGCAACAAATCACTTTCTTGTTCAAAATACGCCTATGCAGCCACTAGTTTAATCTATCATATTGCTTCTGATCCCTTCTGAATTATTTCAGCTTTAGTTGAGGTCTTCAGCACAATACAAACCACCAAGTGCAACTATGACCCAATCCTTAGAGGACTGTCCCTAAAATAAGTAATGTAAGTAAGTAAAGTAAAGTAAGCTGAATTCATTGCTGAAAATACCTTGGTTTTGCTTAGCTAGAAGTGCTAAAACCAACCAAAATAATATTGAACATCATTACTCTTACTTGGCATACAAATTCTTAAATGGAATTGAATGAATTGACAGCGAAGTTTCTTGTCAAATGAAATATTAAACCTATGTGTTACTGTCACTGCTTATAAATTCTTTGTTAAATCAACTGGCACTTGCATTTGCAGTAGAAGCAAAGAACATCAGTTATCAATTTGTAACAATATACAATATCTTCTGACTTTCCTATTTATCTTCTACCCACACTGACAAATCTAAAATAGGTTCTCAGATTAAATCCCATTTGAACACAGTAGACAGAAAAATATAGATTAAAAACAAGTAGTAGTATATATTCGTTTATTAAATACTTCCAGAGTCTTAGAATTGCACAATGAAGG